TCTGAAGAAGGGTCCAGGCCCGAAACGTCAGCCTTCCTGCTCCTCTGATGCTGCTTGGCCTGCTGTGTTCATCCAGCTCTACACCTTGTTATCTCAGATTCTCCAGCATCTGCAGTTCCTACTATCTCTGAACTCCTCTCCACTTACCTTGACTCTGTCTTTTCCCCTCGGTCCAGTAACCCCCCACCTACGTTCAGGCCACGACCCACACCCTCCACCTCCTTCAAGACTTTCAAATCCCCAACCCCCAAAACCTCACCTTCACCTTGGACATCCAGTCTTTGAACAGTTGTATCCTGCAAGGAGATGGCCTCAAAGCCCTCCACTTCTTCATCTCCTGCAGACCCAACCAGTCTCCCTCTACCCTCCTCCGCTTAACGGAACTTGTCCTTACCCTCAACAACTTTTCCCATATGGGTCTGAGCTATATGTGTCTTTTTGTAGAATATGTAGAACAGCCCCTCTTCCGCTGTTACATTGGCACCATCCCTCATCTCTTCCTCTACTACATTGATGACTGTATCAGCACTGCCTCATGCTCCCATGAGGAGCTTGAACAGTTCATCAACTTTACCAACACTTTTCATCCCAACCTCAAATTCACCTCGACCATCTTCACTACCGCCCTCCCCTTCCTGGGCCTCTCCATCTCTATATCCAGTAACCATCTCAGCACCGGCATCTATTTCAAGCCCACCGACTCCCATAGCTACCTTGACTCCACCTCCTCTCACCCATCCTCCTGCAAAAATGCGATCCCCTACTCCCAATTCCTCCACCTCCACTGTGTCTGCTTCCAAGATGGAGCGTTCTACTTCCAGCTATTCTGGATGCCATCCCACTTCAAGGACCGCAACTTTCCCCCTCCATTGATCAAAAATGCCCTCAACCACATCGCTTGCATTTCCTGTACTTCTGCCCTCAAACCCCCGCCCCCAACAAAAATTACGACAGAGTCCCCCTGGTCCTCACATACCACCCCACCAACTTCCGTATCCAGTGCATCATCCTCCGGCCAGTTACAATTCAACCCTACCAAAGAGATATTTCCCTCCCCACCCCTATCTGCCTTTCATAGGGACCACTCATTCCATGACTCACTCATCCGCTCTACAATCCCAACCAACCCCATCACCGCGAGCACCTTTCCCTGAAACCACAGGAAGTGCCATACCTGCCACTGCACCTCCCCCCTCACTTCCATCCAAGACCCAAGACAAACGTTCCATATCCGACAGGGGTTCACCTGTACATCCCCCAACCTGGTCTACTGTATCTGTTGCTCCTGACGTGGCTTCCTCTACATCGGTGAGACCAAGTGCACACTCGATGACCAATTTGCAGAGCACCTGCACTCTGTACGCTATGATCAACAACACCTTCCGGTTGCTCAGAGATAGTAAGAACTGCAGATGCTAGAGTCAGAGATAACACAGGAAGGACACAGCAGGCCAGGCAGCAGGTCCTGACCTGAAACGTCAACTTTCCTGCTCCTCCGATGCTGCCTGGCCTGCTTTGTTCCTCCAGCTCCACACTGTGTTACCACCTTCCGGTTGCTAACCATTTTAACTCCCCGGTGACATGTCCGTCCTGGCCCTCCTCCAATGCCACAATGGCGCTACACGCAAACTGGAGAACAACACCTCATGTTCTGCCCGATGGCCTGAACATAGAAGTCACCAGTTTCAAAATCTCCCCACCCCCGGCCTCATCCCATGTCCAACCCTCCCTCTCATCCTCACCTCCTTGACCTGACACAACCTGTCCACCTTCTTCCCAGTCTATTTGCCCCACCCTTCCCGCTGACCAATCCCCACCATTCCCTACCTGCATCCACCTATCTTCCCCCAGCCCCACCCCTCCTCCCTCTATTTATTTCCCAGCTCCCTTCCCCCTCACCAGTCCTGATCCAAAACGTCGACTCTCCTGCACCTCTGATGCTGCCTGACCTGCTGGGTTCCTCCAGCTCCATACTGTATTGACTCTGATTCCAGCATCTGCAGTTCTTACCATCACTGGGTGATAAACACTATATTGCTATTGTTGTCCATCTCAGAATTATTAGTAAAAAAAAACTATATAGCAAATTGGTGTCATTAATTTGAATATTTAATTATAATGAAGCAATGATCACAGGGATATTTTCAATTCTACTCCAGGTTTAAAAATCATACATTAATCCACTGATTAAAAACATACATTCATGCTAACCTGACAAAGAAAAATGACCTTGCTCTCAATGATCTTCAGCAGAGATAGACTTTAAGATGGTGGGAATGCGATATGTATAGTAACTCAGGATTGGCTGCTTAGCTAAAGAAGGCTTTCTGAGCATCACTGGCAGTGGAAATTTTAAAAATGTAAATGTTTTAATTCACTTCTGGAACGTGGGAATCTTTGAGAAAGCCAAAATTATTTCCCATTCTTAAATGCCCTTGAAGAGTGCATCTTGGATGCCAACTTTTGAGCTTTGGGATCCGTTATTCATCAATTTAGTGTTTTTTAATGATATTATTCATATACAACTATTCTATGGTATTTCATTAAATGACAAGCAATTAATAATAACCTGGTTTCCCCATGGACTTCAGTTTGATTAGGTTTTATTGAGCTCTCAGTGGGCAATAGTGCTTGATGGGATCATATGTCAGAAATAAAACTACAACATAACACCAATTCTTCAACATGCATTCCCTTTGACAATGTGGGTCCAAGTGAATGGTAAGCATACTTTATATTTTTGTGAATGTGCCAGTTTAATAGTAGTTACATAAATTAACTAATTGTAGTCTTTGAGGAAGAAGTATAATTTGAGTCCTTAAATGAGCTATTTTAAAGAAACTGTGCTGCTTTTATATAATCAAAAAAGTTGGGTCTGGAAGAGAATGCTATTGTAAATCATTTCCTAACTAAAATATTTTGCTGTAATAACCTAATTTTCAAGAGATTCCACAAAATGTAATGAATACAATGATATTAAGGAAATATTCCAACAGAGGTAGTTGCTGAACTACTGAACTGTCCTATTTCATTATTGAAGTTGAAAAGCTAGAAGAAAACACTTAGCTGATGCAGGATTAAGTTTCCCCATTTTGATGCATAAAACACATGAATGAACCAAATGCATAACTGACCTTTAAACCTTTTCATGATCTCCAAATTATGAAGAATTCCTCTGGGACAATTTGCTACATGTATTGCAGCTGCCTTATATTGCTTATCATCAAACAGTTTATTAAATCTAGAAAAAAAAAGTGGAAGTTTTAGTTTAGAAGCAGTTATGAGTGGGTTCCTCCAAACCCAAAGCAGTTTGGTGTGGATTAGGATATTCACCTTGCCAGCATGAGTAGAGGAGTCGTAGAGACGACAATACTAGCCATTACTGCAACTATTTACAGGATGCATGAAAACGAATTACCTTATTGCAGAAACTGTTAAGAGCATACTTGCTCCAGATCTGTCTCTTACAAACTTGTCTTTACTCTGAGCCCCATGACATCACAGTGGACTGTGCTTTTTCTATTCATTCATGAGACATAGGCATCACTCGCCTGGCCAGCATTTATTGCCTATTCCTAATTGTCCAAAGGGTAGTTAAGAGTCAACTACATTTCTGGAATCACATGTTGACCAGACAAGGTAAGGATGGCTGATTTTCCTTTCATGAAGGGCATTAGTGAACAAGATCTTTTTTAAAACAACAGGTTACACAATTATCATTTGGCTAGCTTTTTCCTTCAAATCCAGATTTTTGCTGAATTTAAATTTCACCTCTGCCCAGCTGGGATTTGAACCCATGTCCCCAGAACATCAGCCTGGGGTCCTGAGTTAGCAGTCCGATGACATTACCACAATGCCACTAAATCCCTAATCACTCTTGCAATCAAATATTAACCCTTTCAGACTCATACAACAGAAACAACAGAATATTTTAATTGTGGCTTCAGGCTTATACCTTCCAGTGTCCTTACTGTCCGACATCCTTCTTTGTCAATTCTGACCTCAGGTAATGGAGGACTATGAGTGGAAGCTTATAGAGCTCTGAACAACATGGGCTAAGGCTAGAAATCTGCGAGAATCATGTGGGAATTCATGCAAGACCTTTCTCAACATTGGAAGCAATTAGCTTCACTTTCCAAGGTCCAGATGTCAAGAGATTCTCACTGGACAGCAGCAACACACCTTTTAAAGGGGGATAATGCTTATTATTGGCCTCATTAACTGTATATCTTGCCTTATTAATTAAGTTTCCAATTTTACCAGTTGCCAGGAGGAAACTAGATGTCCAGAACCTTTTGAGGTGTCAAGAGCCACCTTTTGGTTGATGGGCAACTTTTACATCTCATTACTTGTCTGTTTTCTTTTCATGTTCATAAACATCCCTCTTTTTATAGATCAATGCAACCCTATAATTGATTAAAAGTAGTAGATAATTCTTTGAACAGTGAAAACATTCACAAACTCAAATTGTCATTTCAGCTCACCTCTCAACATATTCTAACAAGTACGCTGGTTCATTAATTGCACTTGGATCATCAGCATCCAATATTTCAGGCCAAAGAGTACCAACCTCTGTATCAGAACAAATGCATTACTTTATTATGGAATACAACAATCTAAACGGATTCATGTATGTACTGTTATTTAAGCATTAAAATTTCAGTTGGTAAGAAAATTGGCTGTGATACATCCGTACAATTGACATTCCACCAAATGTGCCATGAATCCTTAGATCATTAAGGAAGGAATTTAGATCCTGATTAATAAATCAGAGATGTTGAACAAAGGCTATGTGTTTTCTTACAGTATGAAGGAAAGCCATAGATAAACTACTCACATTCATCTTAAATCTGCCAACCAAATGTAGTTGAATGATCATTCCAAATAGTCTGAATCATCATGGAAACAGTTACAAAGTTGTGCAACATTCTTTAGAGAGACCTCCAGTCAAGGTTAAAGACAGGTAACAGTATGAAGGTCACAGCTGTCTTTTATCTTTCTCAGACTCTACAGGTTGCCACAAAGGACAGCAATAACAAAGCACTTTACTGTGCACTGTTGCATAAAGCAGGCTATGTAATGCTTTCTAAAGCAAATTTTCATGTTATTTTCTCCATCTAAAAGAAGGGAGAGAAACTAAGGATATTTCAAACAGCAGAGTTTCCAAAAGTTCAAGAAGTATTCATGACATGCATTCTTACCATCGTTGCACAGAAGTGCCACAAACATGGGTCAACATTTCCATTTTAAATATAATTCCCCATGTCAAGCAGCAAACTGCACTCAGTTGTATTATTTATGTAACGTGTACTTCTGCTCAAGTTTAGGCTGAAATTATTTGCATACTGCCTATTGTGAAACCTTCCACGGACAATCGGGCAATATGTTAGAGTATAATTCTTTCAAAAGATAGTTTGGCATTGAAAATATTCCTTAAGGATGGCAACTTGATATTGTTTTATTAATATTGTTGGAAGTGGATTTATGACAAAAAGGAGGTAAAAATTGAATAAGACTGAAAACATGTGGGGATCAAGATGCCTGATTAATTCTATTCACCATTCATTCTAATGCAGGCTCACACAAACTTTGAGCTGCACGCTCATTTACATGATTGCAACGTGCAGCTAGCACTATGTAAATTTTGAGTGGCTAAACACCTGAGTAGGGGCTGCAAAGTCAGGAATTCCAGCTCGCCTTTGTTATTTAAAGCCTGCACCTCTCAAAAAGGAGGTGCATTTTTCCTTGAGCAGGTGCTGTTAAAGTGACTTGGAGGGGGCCCTCTTGTGGTGCAGTGGTAGTGTCCCTGCCTGGACCAGGGAGGCCCGGGTTCAAGTCCCACCTGTTCCAGAGGGGGTGTAACAATATCTCTGAACAGGATAATTAGAAAAATACATTAATTAAAAAAAAAATCAAAATGACTTGGACCTAGGAAAGGCAGAAAGCCTGCAGTCATTGTCAAAGAACATGGACAATGCACAGGTCCTGTGCATTGCTTAGTACAAATTTTGAAGACCATTCTTTCCAGCTTAGAAGTGATGGCTCATGTCATGTGATTCTCATAGACCCGATCATCATGTAGTGTCTGATGGCCAATATCTCAGCATTTACTGCAGCAAGAGCAAAGCCACACAAAGTCTAAGCATTATTATAGAAGTTCTGACAAATCATATATGCTCACCTTACTGTTGTGATAGCACAGTTTGAAGCTACAGAGGTTAAAACTGCTGTCATCAAGGCTGTAGATATCAATTTTCACATGAACTTGCAATGTCTCAAAAATTGCTGAGGCATGGCACCTGGAGAGTATCAGTGGCTCCTTGGACCACTAAGCTGCTATTTGACTTCAGAGTGACAGCACTCTCCTAACAGAGTCACCAAATTGTTGCAGTGCCGAAATTGGCAATTTGGCCCATCGTGCCTGTGTCAGTTCTAGTACTCAGTGCAAATCTCCGACTTTTCCTCATATCTCTGCACATCATTTTATCTAAATAATCATCCAATGTCCTCTTGAATGCCTCAATTGAACCTACCTCCTCCAAACTTCCAGGCAATGCTTTCTGTACTCTATCTACTCACTATGTGAAAAAGTTACTCTCACATCACCCTTGTTTGAACATTACATTAAAGCTTTGCCCGCTCATTCTTTTTACTTGGGAACAGCTTCTTCTTATCTACTCTATCAAGCCCACTTGTGATTTTGAAAACCTCTATCAAATCTCCCTCTCAGCCTTTTCTTCAGAGAGAACAGTCCCAACTTCTTCAATCTGTTCTCATAATTGAAGCTTCTCATTCTTGGAACCATTCTTGTAAATCACTTCTACATTCTCTCCAATGAGTTCACATCTTCCCTATAATGTGGTACTCACAATTGTACACAATACTCCCACCACCGTCCCTCTGCCAGGGCCTTTGCTGTTGCCTGCCATCAGCCAGCCCAGATTGCTACTGCCAATGCGCAGGCAGTAGACTCCAAAGCTGTGCGTTCCACAGTGAAACAGAGGCTTAGAACCTCTGTATGTACAAATCCTTCAGAGGTCTCTTCTCCCTCACCTCCTCTTTTCACTGCCAAATTTTGCCCGCCCTTGCTCAATCATTCATATGCTGCAGATGAAGTGAGATGGTAACTACAGCACCCTTGGCTGGGAGCAAGTGATCGGTGTTGGAAACCTTCAGAGTGCAAGACAACCTCCGCAGGCTCTATAAATTGTAAACAACAGTGGAGAACTCAACAAAAGTTGGCACTTCTTCAAACTCAATTAAAGATAGTAAAAATGAGCCAGAAACTAACACATTTTAGTAGTACAGGTAAGGGGATCCTTCCTGCTGCTGAGTTGTTGCAAGTCTTTATAAGAGGGGCCTTAATTAGAGCTTTGAGATTGTAAATGTCACCAGAGTTGAACCAGACTTACACACTAAAAACATGATTTGCCTACTTTGCTTACTTCCAACATATGATCCTAATGCCCTTCCTAACACTTTAATGAAAAAGAGTATCCATGAGATGTATATACAGCACCGACACCATTTTGCACTCCAAAATACAGGAGGTACAAAGCCAAATTTTGCAGTAAAGCATTTTAATTAGACTGCTAAATTCCCCTTCTGAAAGTAACTCCAAAGCATTTAAAAGATGGCAGTGTTTGCTGACTAATCCAGAAACAAGCGTGCGCACAATTCTAGGCACAATGTCATCATGCAAAATTTATATGTGAGGTCATACTGCACAGTGCATGCAGAGAAGAAGCATGAGATTTTCAAACAGCGTTTAGCAACCTGGAGGACAGAGAGAATGCTGGACAGAGGTGAACGAGGATGTGGGACAGCGGAGGGAGAATGCGGGGGGTGGTGGTGTTAGGACGGTGTGTAGTGAGGACACAGGACAGAGGTGGCTGAGGATGTGGAACAGGGAGAGTGAGATGTGGGATGGGAAGAGTGAGGACATGAGACAGAGGGTAGAGAGGACACAGCACCGAGGACAAGGGACAGGGGTGAGAGAATGTGGGAGTAGCAGAGGTGAGGATAGGGCAGGGAGTAAGGACGCAGGACAAGGGAGCATGAACTCGAGATGGGAAATAAGGATGTAGGGGTTGCTGAGGTGAGGATAGGGTGGGGTTGAGGATATGTGTTGGGAGGAATGAGGATGCAGGATGTTGGAAATGGGGACATGGGCAAAAGGCAAGTGAGGACACAGAGAGATAGGGGGTGGAGACGGAGTGATGACATGGCATGGCGGAGTGAGGATGTGCGATAGAAGTGTGAGGGCGTGGGCTGTGGCGGGGAGGGGAGTATGGGGGAATAAGGAAGCAGGGGTGGTGGAGGTGAAGATGCATGACGGGCAAGTGAGAACGCAGGATGCGGCAATGAGAATGCTGGACAGGGCACTGTGATCACAGGATAGAAAGTGAGGAAGCAAGACAGGGGAGTGAGGACACGAGCTTGGGGGATTGAGGACATGGTAATGGGGATTAGGTTGTGTAGGTTTGGGGATGCGGGATCGCAGGAGTGAGGACACGGAATGTGGGAAGTGAGGATGAGGGTAAGGGGGAGTGAGGATTGAAGACAGGGGATGATGGAGTGAAGTCAGGGATCATAGGAGTTATGACATGGGGAGTTAGAGGCGAGGACGAGGGTGGAACAAGCATGGAATGAGGTCTCCCCACCCCTTTCCTGGGTTGTTTTACCCTCCTCTTCTCCCTCCCCAGGTTCCGTCTCCGTCTCTCCTCCTCCACTATGCCCCCACTCTCCTTCATCCCAGGTCCGATGCTTCCCCCGCCCTCGGGTTGCTTACATCTCTACTACCTTGTGCCCTCTACCATTGCCTCCTGTGTCCTCATTCCCTCCCGCATCCTCACTCACACCCTTCCCTTATCCTCACTCTCCTTGCCCCTGTCCTCACTCCCCACCCCCCAACTCACTGAATGACATTCAATTACTTGTTCTGATAGTGGCTTTAGCTCCACATTTCCACCTAACCCAGGTACCATTCGCTCTCTTGTTTGTCAAAAACTTATACAACAGCATTCTGCTCACTTTCCTAATCACTTGCAGTGCATCTCATCTTTTGTAATTCTTGAATCAAGACACTGACATCCCTCTGTACCTTACAATACTGCAATCTTTCTCCATTTACACAACAAACTGTTTTTCTATTTTCACTGCCAAAATAGACAAACGCACATTTTCCATATTATACTCCATCGGCCACTCTAAGATTCTCTTCACAACTTACTTTTCTACCTACCTTTGTATCATCAGCAATTTTAGTAACCACACATTATGTCTTTTCACCCAAGTCATTGGAATAAATTTAAAATAATTGAGGTTCCAACATTGATCCTGAGTCACAACGCACATCACAATCTTTCAAGCCAAAACTGATCCATTTATTCCCACCCTCTGTTTTTTACTAGCTAACAAATCCTCTATCCACACTACAATATTATCCCTACACCATGAGCTCATATTTGGGTAATAACCTTTGATGTAGTACTTTGCCAAATACCTTCTGGAAATCACTGTTACAAATATATGCTGTTTTCATTCTCAAAGTATTTAAAAAGTCTGTGGTA